GAAATTGTGACATGGTTGGTAGAAATACTCTTTAAAAATGTCATTATTAATCTAGTCGTCTTAGCTAAATTATAATTTTTCTTAACTCATGTTTCTTTACAGTTACCTCTGCTCCTTCAAGCTCCTTTAAAGTAACAAAGTCTTTTCTCTATCCCATTCAAATTAAACAAACTCCTATGCTCTCTGTCTCTTTGCCTCCATAGGCAGGCCAGTCTGTCATGCACTGTTCTGCTGATTATCTGCTCAGAGACAGTTTTCCTTTCAGACAATTAGCAAAGTTATATGAAATATGTGAACAGCTAGAATAAGATATCTAGTCATAGTGCAAAAAGGCCAAGCAACTTTTAGAAAGGATAGCAAAAACATTATCTCCTTGGTTGCAGTTGTTTCATAAGTAGATTTCTGTTTAAAATTGGGTCTTTGAAGAAATGTTTGGTGTTTCTATGTGCCTTTGATATGTGAGTCTTAACTTTATGAATACCAGCTACTTAAAGGTTTTACAACCCTTCTATGATATGAAGGGTTTTATGGGTGAGTTGCAGAGGCAGAGAGACTGTGGGAAACAAATCAGTGACAAGGAAACAAGTGAGGAACCTGTCTCCTGCACTTCCTTGGGGTTTTATTTGTTTGTTTGTTTGCTTTTTTCCCCTATATGACAAAAATGGATGTTTTAAGTTCCTCAAAGCACCTGATTCTCCGAACTGTACATAAAAATTCTAATTCAGAACAAATGACACAACCCAGTTCATAGTCCCCTCATTTTTTTTTTTTTTTTTTTCAACCTTGAATATCCCAGGCCTGTTTCCAGTTAAACAAATTGTCCCTATTATGGTAGAAGGACTAACGTGTTCTCAGAGAAATACTGATAAATTTATTTTAAAAAGCACACACTTAGCCATATGTATGATGAATTTTCTTCTTTCATCATATAATCCAGGAGAGTCTCCCTTCATGTCATGGCTTATAGAGGCAGGTGATTTGCTGTTGCCCATGAAATACTCTGTAGGCCATCAGTGCTGTCTGTCTAGTGCTGTGATGACTTTTTGGCCTTCCTCCTCTTTTTTTGCCCCCCAGGAAAAAATAAATTTATCAGTCGCCTTGATGACTTACTCTGTTTCAGCCTCTCCAATTTTTAAAATCAATTAAATATCACTTGTTTTATGGCCAACCACAGCATCTCTGCATCTTTGAGGTCAGCTGAAGGCACCCTGAATTCTGGGCACTGCTGCTAGCTCATGGAGGGAAATTGCTGAGATCCACACCGTTATTCCTATTTACTGGCATTGAGGAAAGCAGCTATTCACAGCAGCCTTGAAAATCATGGTGTGAAGCCCTGGGTCACTGAGGTCTGTGGGAGTCCTGCATTCAGCCTAAGAGTTCACCCACAGAGTGTAGGTGGTCAAATAAAGGTCTTTGCCCCTTCACCTTGAGACTCGTCCCCACGGAGTATGTGCATCCCTGAGACAATGCTGGTGGGCAAGCATTACGCATTTATACACCTCTGGTTCGGTGGCAGCAGCGAGGTGGTCGAGCCCCAAGAGGACAGCCTGCAGTGGTGGTGCAGGCAGCAAGCTCCCCCCAAGCCAAGCTGCCTCGGTGGCAGGCAAACTGTCAGCCTGCTGCCACCCCGTTCCTGGCAAGCGCTGCTGAATTGGTGCAGAGGAATGCTTGTTTTCATGCTGCTTCTCTGAATCTCTTAATAGAGCCAAATGGAAATAGAGCACAGATTTCCAGTTCTGTGTTAAATCCACCATGGATGCATTGCTGATGTCTGTGAAGTGCTTTTAGGCTGGTGGCCGAACCAGGCCTTCTAACTTCACATTGAATTTGCTTATTAATTTGTAAATTGGGTTCTGTTTAAAAACATATAAATGTTAATGAATTTTGGTGAAATCCATGTGGTAATCCAAACACCTTTCTCTGTACATATTTAACAAGCTAAAGAAGACTAAATTTAATGCTGAATTCATATCTTACTATTTTAGAAAACAACTATATATATATTTTTAAATGTGCAGTTCCAGCCTATTTCTACATAGAGCTCTTTTATTGGACCTTCTAATTCTGTTGCACATGTAAACTAGTTGTGTGATTTGTAATAAATACAGATTGAAAGTGGAAACTCATTTGTCAGGCAACCATTTAGCCTGAGAGATTATGCACCTTTTTAAAAAACAGACAAAAAAACCATGCCAAGATGGTGACAATGACTTGTCAGTTAAACATAAATAATGGAAAAGTCAAGGCTGACAGTTAACACTCCCCAGAAAGCAACCTTTGCTGCAGTTGTTACCCCTTGGTTGAGAAGAGTAAAATAAAAAGTACAGTGATATGTACTTTTGTGAAGATGCAGCTGTCTTCCTGATGCCTGCACGGATCCAGCATCATGCACAAAAGTGGCAGAGCTGCAAAGCCCTGACTTCAGCAGCAGCAATGTGTGCCAAAGCTTGCAAGATTCAGTGATGCTTCTCCTGCCAGAAAATGTTATTTTGTGGTTTGTAATTTGGCTCCTGGAGATACAGCAGTATATCCAGATGCTGCTAAAAATATGGTCCTTCATTTTCTTCTGGCAGGTTAGAGTAGTAAAGAGTATTTATAAGGTATATTTTCTCCTTTCCAGTTAAAATGTGCCACCCTTGAATTAAAAGAGGACAAGGTTTTTTTACCCTGATCCTTAGCTTAAGATAATGATGAATTTCCATCAAGCCTTGTACAGCTTGGTGAAAGCTTTCCTAAAAATAGGAATTATCTGGGGATTCCTGGCATCAGAGGGCTAAGAGGTAGTTGAAAACTTGACATCAGAAATAAATTATAAATATGTCGGTTTTGTCACAGCCTCAGTGATTTTTTGGCAATATCTCCTAGCTAGATAATTTGTACCTGGTTTGCTCCTGCCCTTTCAAAATTACTTGACCAAGCTACTTAATCTCCCCTTAGGGCAAATGGCTCTCACTGACACAACTTAAACTTTTTATATTGGTAGAATATGTAGATATCCTTCTTCCCACCCAACTGTTAGTCCATGACTGCTAAGAAGAAATTAATCTATACAGCTAAAACTTCTCAGTAAATTCAGCTCAATTATTACAGGTAACTGGCTACTAAATCACCACAGGATGATCATGATAAAGACAGAAATAGGCTCTTTAAAGCACTGTTTCTCAAAGCTTTTGAAGGTACAGTGTCTTTCTGATTGATCTCTGAAGGCCTGAATAGTGATTAGAATTTCAGGAGTTTTCTTTCTAGCACTTCAGAGCACCATTTGAATCCTGTTGTGATGCATAGTTTGAAAAAAAAGGACTTTAAAAACCAATCTCTAGTGGACAGCTTCCACCAGAGATTATTGTGATTAAGAAATAACTTCTTGATAATAGTTTATTAGTTTTTGCATTTCTCAAACCCTTTCCTCTGAGCAACTTAAGGCACTTAGCTTCGTAATAACTGTAACGCATTATTTAAGCTGTTATCCTCTAAACTGAATGAGAACATAGAATTCAGTAAGTCAGAAGAGATTTAATTTTTTGCTTTATTGAGATACCACTGTTGTCTGTGTGAAAGCTTTCCATGTTGCAAATGGAAGATGATTAGATTCCTGGGGGGCATGGTTAATTCGCAGTGGTATTCACTTGATAAACAGAAACAAATGTGAAATCTTGTGCACCAAAAATTACATAGGGCCATCATAATGTGGCAAAAAATAATAAAACTTGCAGCTTGCTAACTTAGTGGGTGTGCTTAAACAAGGCAACAAGGATACTTTTGCATGCAGTGTCCCTGTAAGACATTAATGAACTTGGACTATACTTATAAAAGCACTTTATATATTTCTTCTATTGTCAAGTTCTTAAAATGATATATTAGTGATAGAGATGTGAAGTACTAATAAAACATTATACTGAGCATCCCATGGTGCAGTACAAGGCAGGTGACATATAATTCACTAACGAATATATTGATATTAGCACAGAGGAATATATTTGAGTTCAGGTTGTTCTGAGAATTATTTTCTCAAGATGAGAGTTCTGGTATCTGTCATATCTTCATCTTACCAGACAAAAATACTTAGTACAATGCTGGATACTTTGCTCTTTTGAAAGGCCTGCATGGGTTTTGCAATAAAGTATATTAAACTTTCATCTTTGTTTCTGCTATGCAAGTTTACGGCATTCTCTATTTCTATAGTGACCTCTATTTCTCTTGCTTCATGTGCAAATCACTTAGTTCTGAGGTACTGAAGATGTCTTCTAAGATGTGAATGCCTCATCTCAGACCTCTTGGCCTGGGCTTTCCCTGGTGCAGAGCATTCAAATATATGCTAACTTAGGAAATCCTAAGAAATTGGACCTTGGCCCAAATTTTCAAGCAAGGCCTCTAATTCAGAGAAATTGTTTGACAGGGTTTTTTGAGATATTTATGCCAGTTTCTCAAATGTGCCAGTCCCAACATAGCTAAGTGGGAGTGGTGGAGGAGACGTGGATGATCTTTTGATGATTGGTGTCCCTATCTGCTTACTTAAAAAGTAAGACACAATATATGTTTGAAAGTGAGGACAAAAAACTTACTTAAGGGTATGTAGACCGACTGTAAGGACCTACAATTTTTATTTTCCCTTGAATTTTTGAGATCTGTATCCCAGCCATCTTATTCTCTAGCAGCTGATGTTTGGGTTATCCAAAAGCAGAAAACTGATCACACGCTAAATAATTTTCAGAGTGAAATACTAATGCAATTGCTTTCAATGGCAAAATTCCCACTGACTTCTGTGTGGGCAGAAATGTGCCTCATATATTAATTCTACTTTTGTTTGAGTGTGTTACTGCTTCTCTATTCTGCCATCTTAGGTAATAATTTGTTCCAGCTTTAAATGACCATAGAGAAGGTTTTTTACAGCAAATTTAAAGGTTGAGTGAGGCTTGGAATTTTAACTCTATGACTTTCCATTACTTCAGCTGTGCTATTATATACAGTATACCATGTGTATAGTATAAAATGCAACCTACCTAGTGTTGGGTCATACTCCCAGATGAACCGTTTGGTCAGGAAGCGTACAACAAGAGCTAGAGGAACAAAAAGATTCTAGGTGAGATTCACATGCCATCAATTCATCCGGTTTTTAAAGCTTTCCCAGAAAACTATTCTGTGTGAATGTGCATGTAACAGCCTCCTCTGAACTGTAAGCAGAATTCAGCTTTTCTTATTGGGGCCGTCAAGACCTTTTCACTGTTTGTGGCCCACTTTACACTTTTGGAGGAGGGAAACAAAACAAAAACAAAAACTCTGTACAGCATTAATCATTTACCTATGCAACAATGCAGGACAAAGAACACCAAGAGATTTTTCAACAGTTGTGTCTAACTATTTTTCCACTTATTTTTTTGCTACAATAGCTTCTACCATTAAAAAGTCAAAACAACACCATTTACAGCACTATGAGATGACCTATGAAAATAACACTGTTTTGGATGCTTTATGTTTCCCATAACCAGTGCAAAATTGTTGGCAGTTTTTGAACCAGGATGCTTTGAAGCTTGAAAACTAGGATTGATCAAAATAGTTTAATTCTTGAAAGCTTCCCCTTCAGTTTTTCAACCTTGTAAGGTAAACATATAATTGACTAAATATCTTCCCTCTGTATTTTGGCATGCCTTCCTTCCAACAATTTATCTTCCATGTCACTTAAACCAATGGTCAAGAAATGCTATTAATGAATTTGCAGAAGTAGGAATAAAGCTTTAGATTTTGCAGCACTGGATAACTAGTTCTCAGTTTCAGTTTATAGGCTATGATCTTGCTACTTATGTTCTTATATTTAATTTTTTTATCCCTCCACCCTGTGTAAAAACAATCTGTAATGGCTCTCTCAGGATATTGATAATGCTCTAATTTAAAACTAAGCAGTGCCTTGAATTTCTAGTGGTGTAAACAAAGTGTTCACCAGTGCCAACTATTCAAAAAACCTTTCTGCATTTTCAAACTGGAGCTAGAGCTGCAGACGGTAAAAGCTGTCTTCTTTCAGTTGCAGATGGACAGTAAAAGGTGACAGCTAAACCCAGTTCTGATTCTTTACAAAATTAAAGCCGTGAGAATGCCCCACATCCCAGATTTTTGTGCCCAAGACTAGGACAGGGCAACACTCTGCAGAATAAATATAGTTAATTGAGCTTTGCTTAAGCAGAACCTATTTAAAAAAAATCAGAACATTAGTTTTCAGGAATATTTAACTATGTCTCACACTTGGAGGGGTAATAAGAACCTGATCCTAAGGAAATGAGATCACTGCACAAGAAGCAATTTTAAATCTGTGTTATTTTAAGTTTCTATTTTCCATAGGAAATCCTACGTCTTGATTTATGTTGTTTTTTGGTTTGTTTTTTTTTTTTTTTTAGCCTTTGCAGAAATGCTGTCCTTGTCCATCAGAGTGAATGTGGCACTTCCTAGCCAAAGTAACTTTTCAAGTCGTAGTCCTAATGTGGATGTCATCATACTACATGAAGATCTCTCTACAGCTTATTTTCAACCATGATGATGTCTGCACCAGGACTTTTTTCAGAGAATCATAGAATATTTTGGGTTGGAAAGAACCTTTAGAGGTCATCTAGTCCCACCCCCCCTGCAATGAGCTGGGACATCTTCAACTAGTGCAGGTTGCTCAGAGCCCCATCCAGCCTGACCTTGAATGTTTCCAGGGGTGAGGCACCTACCACCTCCCTGGGCAACCTGTTCCAGTGTTTCACCATCCTCATCGTAAAAACTTTCTTCCTTATATCTAGCCTTGATCTACCCTCCTGTAGTTTAAAACCTTTACCCCTTGTCGTATTGCAACAGGCTCTACTAAAAAGTTTGTCCCCATCTTTCTTATAAGCCCTCTATAAGTACTGGAAGGCCGCTATAAGGTCTCCCCAGAGCTTTCTCTTCTCCAGGCTGAACAACCTCAACTGACTCAGCCTGTCCTCATAGAGGAGGTGCTCCAGCCCCCTGATCATCTTTGTGGCCTCCTCTGGACCCACTCCAACAAGTCCATCTCTTTCCTGTGCTGAGGGCTCCAGAGCTGAACACAGGACTCCAGGTGGGGTCTCATGAGAGCAGAGTAGAGGGGCAGAATCCCCCTCCCTCGACCTGCTGGCCACACTGCTCTTGCTGCAGCCCAGGATACAGTTGGCTTTCTGGGCTGCGGGCACACATTGCTGATTCATGTCCAGCTTTTCATTCACCAATTTACCACTTTTATTCCAGTCAGATAGGATTGATTTAACCTAATTTTAACCATATGAAGAAGTTTACCTAAGTATCTAGTCTCCCTCTACAATTAGTGGAAAGACAGAGGGGCATATATAGGATACAAGTCATAAATCTTGATATGATTTGATGACCTTTAATGGTCCTTTCTAAGTCAAACCATTCTATGATGCTGTTTTGTCCACTTGTGTTACCTATCTCTAGAAAACCCATTATATGGTTTATATACATGACAAACCTATACTGCTTCTCTAAGATGTATAAAGCCAAAGTAGATTCCCTACACTTTAGCTCAGCTGAAATAGTTTAAACATCTTGATGTTTCAAAAGTTTGGTCATGATTCTTCTCTAATTGCTAGTAATAGGTTCTCTAATTGCTAATAAAATATACAGCATGTTCTTTTTTTTTTTTTTCCTTTTTCCATTTTGACTGGGGAAGTGATACATACTTTCAGAATACTCCTTATCATGTTCTTTTTCAAGAACAGATTTTAAAAATTCTTTATTTCATAGCCATACTCTGAAGGAGAAGCAGTGATGTGCTGCCTGTTTTACAGTGCCTTACCCTAAGCCTGTGTCTGGAACTGGAGTAAATGAAGACAGAAAAGGCAGAAGAAAGTGGGGGAACCTGTCCAGCTATTCTCATATTTAAACATGGTCCACTTAGTTATGATAACCTTGTACTTGCAGATGGAAATTGCTAGAGAGGAGGGTCAAAGTAATGAAGGGAACTGGAAGAACATCTGCCAGGCACTAATGTCCAAGACAGGTGATAGAGAGCAGCAGCTCTTAAGGAGGAGGGAGAAGAGCTGGTTTTGGAGGTAGCCCAAATAAAGGAGGTGAGATGACGACAAGTGATAAGAAGGAAAGGTAGAACTGGACCACAACAGCTGCTATAAGCCTGGGAGAAGAGAGGTACAGCTATGTACATGGGATGAAATGGTACAGGCATTGAGTGCTACAGAAGTGAAAAACCGGAGATAGCAGGTGTGAGCTCTGGTGGGCAGGGAAAATTAGGTCGTATTCATCTCCAGTGGGGAGGACTGTATTCAGAAATAACAAATAAACATATATGCAGGAGGGAGCTGAAGAAAAGAGGAAGGATGGGAGGCAGCTGCCACGCATAGGGCCAGATGGCAGTTAGTCTCTCTGGCTGGCAGGTCTCATCAGGGAGCACAGCAAGTTGCTTGCTCAGCACTGCCGATAATGAAATACTCACATAAGGCTTGCTTGGGCCCTGTGAAGGGAAGAAAATGCCACCTCAGCACAACCCCAGGTGAGTGGGGAAGTTTCAGCTTCAGAGTCATGTGCTCTGTGCCAGTTTTGGGGGCATGCATGCTCGGGGCCGTGAAGAGCTGCTGTTCCTCTGGGGCTGGCTCTGCTCAGCCTCCCTGCTTCCAGCCTGGAGGATTCCCTCAAAATACTCCTGCTCTCCTTCACGGCCTATCCTATGAAGCTTTTCACTTCCACACATTTTTAGAAGGCTGAAGATTAGCATTTTCATTTCACAGATGGGGAACATGAGATGATCTTGATCCAGCGTCTGGATAATTCATAACTATTGCAAATTATGTTGGATGGGAAATGTCTTCACATTTGCCTCATTAGGGGTCCTTGGCAAATGGGGCCCTGACATCCAATTGAGAATTAAAACAATGTATGTGACTGCTGTCTGATTTGATAGAAAATAGTCAATGAGAGGAGAGCTGGCAATGGCATCCAAGTATTTGGGCTGTCAGGCAGAGACCAGCTTGCTGGCTTGTGCCGCCTGCCCTCGCAATGATCCCCCTAGATCAGGGGCATTACTGGGGAGCCATTTTGCTTATGTTGAGCTCACTTACTGAGGGATTACATCACTTTTTAGTAAAATAACTTCTTCCAGAAGAAGAATCAGAAGCAAGGGCATTAGGAATTCACTACACTTAGAGCTGTAGCGCTCAGATTTCTGATGCAGGCATAAATGATGCTTCGTGCAAAGAAATGAAACTTCCCTGTGTCCTTAGCAATGCTGCATAGAAAGAGATGAAATGGGCATTACTTTCTTTTCACCTTAGCAAAGGTATGTGCACCCTGTTTGACCCATCAACATTATTTAGACATTTAATACTGAGCCAAAAATAACCCAGCACACTAAAAAAAATAATCCAAATGCTGAATTTTAATTCAAAATAACACTGAGGTTGAGAATGTCTGAAACACATTATTTTATGTTTAAATTAGGTAATTAATTTCAATGTTCACATGAAAATTACCATTTCCAGTGCTTATCCTAAAAGAAGATGAAATGCGTTTTGAAGCAGGCAGGATTTGGGTCGATGCAGTACCTAATAAGAGTGAAATTCATGGTCCTCCAATGAGACTAGTCCAGGCTCTTTCCTGAACACTCACTGCTTGTGAAATACAAGAACTTGCAGGCTTAGAAGGAAAGAATCTCCAACAAACTGTAATTTGGATTCCCGCTGTGTTTTTTGGAGACATGACCATTACCTAAGGGAATTGATGTAATGTCCCAGCAAAGGAAGAACAGACTCATGTCTCTTTCTGCCTTTCCTTACACCCTCACTTCCAAATCAGCTGTCTTGTACAGGATTTAAATTAGGGTAGGACTTGGCCCAGGACTTTCATTCACTCATGTTTAAACCTTCTGCCTTAGAAGTTATTCTTGGAGAAGAAACAGGACTATCTGTCAAATACATTTGCAGTGTAACTCCACTGAAGACAATGAAGTTATATTAGGAATTAACTTGGCATATAAACTGAGATTATCAACCACATAATTAATCAATTCCTTTGGGACTTGTGTGGCTGAGTCCCTTACTCA